AAAGGGCTCACTACCGTCTTTTGGAAAGGAGAAGGAGCAGTAGTGATCGACACACTTGAAAAGGGGATTATTAACTTCCCCAAAGACATGTTAGGATGGTTCCAGCCCCAGGACCTCAGGATTTGGGAATTTCCAATTAGGTAGTAATGGAATATCAATTGCAATTATCCTAACTCATGTGTTTGTAAGAAATGTAGATACCACTGTCAATTGTGCTTTTTACAGAAAGAATTAGGGATTTCATATTCCAGAGCTAGGACTAAAGAATTCCAGAAATGGCAACAGCAGCAGCAAATGGAGAAATGTACATTAAAGGAAGAGAAGCAAAAGACCTCTATGAACAGTATGCACTTAAACAATTAAGTGAGGAAGAAAATCCACCATTTGTAAACCCTTTTGAGGGATTGCCCGAGGACCAACAAGATGAATTAGCAGCCCAACAACAAGCACATCTACAACAGGTGAAAGAAGAATTAAAGAGATGGGACTCAGGTAAAGGTAATTTAATTGAAGGTAAGCAAGCACTTAAAGATTTAAAGTATTAGGTAACTTAATGAGATTGTGGGAAAGATTTGAACTACCTATGCTTAGAGCTTATGGATTGATAATGACAAACATCATCTTAATTATATTGCCAAGTGTAAAAACAGAAGAACAAGCGTTAGGCTTAGTAGAAAACCCACCAATAGCCTGATATTAATAATGTGCCCTTTACTTTACTTGTGAAAACGTACCAAAGTCAGGATGTGAGCCCATAGGGACTAGCATGTATATGAACATATAAAATATAATGGTCAACAATTCAAGATGAGTTTCCTGTCTTTTATTTGTAAAAATGGCTTAGAGCATAGATATATTAGATGCAGACCTCCAAGTAATAATCACTCAACACATTGTTTTTGGCAGGCAGGATATGAAATGTTTCACAAACATTTTGTAAAAACTCCAGTAAGGGAAGACCCAGGAGGTTGGACATGCAGAACAGAAGGGGAGGTATTGTATGCTAAATGCACACACCCATTAGATTCTAAAAAGGAGCTCAGTTGCTATATAAGGGACTTGGAATGGGAAGAGAGAATGATAACATTCTTGGCTCCATATATGGTGGTAAAGGCAACTCCCTTCACATATGTACCAGTAAATAGGTCTGATTTGACTATACCAATAAAACTGATGCATAAAAAAAGAGACTTTGGAGTAACAGCAGCTATTGTCGCTATAGCAGTGTCAGCAGCCATGGTAGCTAGCGCTGTGACTGGAGCACTGATTCCAAGCACTACCCAACTACAGGGAAATGCTTTGGAGTCCCTCCTGAAGATAATTCAGGAGCAGCAGGCTCAGCTAGGTGACCAGTAAGCACTGCTTAAGGCACACACTATGGGGCTCCAAATGCTCGAAGCAAGCACGCTACAAATAGAACAGATAATTACCATACTAGCTTTGGAAAGAGAACTCAAGTGTGAAGCAATTGGAAGAGTTTGCATTACCACCATTCCATGGAACCATATATCCATTCCTAATGCAATGCAACTAGCTGATATGTTCAAACTCAACCATTCTACCTGGCTAGAGTGGGTAAATGCAACCGCTCATCTTGAGGCTAACATTACTAAGGGAGCTCTACAAATAATACAGCTTCAAAATATAGCGGCATTTAAGATAGGTCAAGTCAAAATAGTGGAACACACAATAAATACTTTGACTGACACAGTTTCCTCTTGGCTCCCATCCTGGAAATGGTGGAGCAATATTTTGTGTAGTTCTTGTATGCTTGCCTGTCTTACAGCACCTCTTCTCAATTGGACGGAATTTCACGAAGGGATACCTAGCCCTCCGAGAGGAAACCAGCCCACCAGAAATAGAAGAAGAAGAAGAAAAAGGAGACCCCAAATCTGGAAATCAATCCAGGATATGCTCAAGAATGTTCATCCCTTTGGCCCAGCGGCTCAACAGGCTTTACAGGGCTATGAGATCATTTAAAGAAAAGAAAAGCGAGGATTGTTAGGGAACCACTCTCAGAGAAAGTAACTGTAGCACCTTTTGAAAGAAAGTAACTGCACAGTAGAAAAGTAACAATGCTAGCTCATAAGATTTGAAAAGGGACGGCCTAACTACAAACCACAAACTGTCATTGTCATGAACACGGGACACTGGGAGGTCAGCGTGTGGGTGGGGCTAGCCTCTAGAAACTGTATATAAGGGGCCCCTCAGACGCTGTAAACCAGAGGTTGCTCAGCCTCTCTCCCTGGTCCGTAGTGCCTTGTGCCCACAGAGAGAAGCTCCTGGTCCATAGCGGCTAGTGCCCGCAGAAATTGGCTTGAGTGATCTCTCCTCCTAGTCGCCTAGAGTACCAATTAAGTGAGTTTAGCTTGACCTTCCTCAGTCTCCTCAACTCTTCCTTCGTGGCAACCTGGCCAGTTCCTGGAGGGGGAGATCCTGACACCAAATTTTCTGCCTTTTATCTGGGAAAGAATTGGACATATTGAATATACAGTGGACCACAATATCTAACAGTCTGATTGGGAACAATGTTCACTGCACACGTTTAATCCCTGCTGCCAAGTAGAATGGGCTTCAGTTTGAGAGTCTTGGGATAAAGAAAGCCATAGACAGAGGGCCATGGCTTCTTAAGTTATAAAGGAGTACAAATATAGCTTTCAGGAAACAAATGGAGGTGCTCAAGTAAAACATAGTATATGTGTGGATACATGCATTTTACTGATGAGGTCTACAGATTCAACTAGGTTTAGAGTGCATGCTGACTAAAGTCCTGAGTTAACAACACTCTGTTACACTCATCTCACTACACTTGTAAAGGGATAAGTCTCGCACCTGTGCAGCTGTACCTGCTAAATCCTTTCATTCAGTAACAGTCTGCTCATTCATTACAGAGCAATGGTAAAATAATAGGCTGCATCCATGCCTTAGGTAGGCAGCTTGTTTCTAAAATTGTTTCTAAAATATTGTTTCTAAAATACAGTAGATGCTATAGACTGAATGAAATTTGCAATAACACTTATTGGGAGTACTGTTTTAAATTTTATTCTTGTATAAGTGATTTCAGCTAACGAAGAAAGGACCAAGTCATATTTGAAAGAAGTATTGATTTAAAAGAATATTGTTTTTTTTACACTAAAAAAAAAAGAAATAAAATAACACTAAGCATATCCTGGTATAAAAATATCATTTGAATGGGCTGGTGCTGTGGCATAGAGGGTATAGCTGCTGCCTGCAGTGCTGGCATACAATATGGGTGCTGGTTCTAGTCCCAGCGACTACACTTCCAATCCAGCTCTCTGCTATGGCCTGGAAAAGCAGCAAAATATGGCCCAAGTCCTTGGGCCCCTGTACCCACATGGGAGAGCCAGAAAACGTTCCAAGATTCTGGATTCAGATCAGCACAGCTCCAGCCGTTGTGGCCACTTGGGGAGTGAACCAGCAAATGGAAGATTTCTCTCTCGCCCTCTGCCTTTGCTTCTCTGCCTTTCAAATAAATAAATAAACCTTAAAAAAGATATCATTTGAATAAATGAGCAAGGACTCTTTTACATCCTCCTCTGATTGTCAGGAATAGGAGGACCACTTGAAGAATACGGATTCCTTTTGCAAGAATGCTGCAAATGAGAAATGTTTTGAGATCTGACATAACCTCTTTATGACCCCAATAATTCAACCGACCTTTCTGTCCCCACAGAACAAACACTTTAATCAAGAGACCTAGCACATGCAATGTTTAAGGGGGTTCTCAAGTAATACACCCTGAAACAACACATCATTATAAAATGGAAGGTCTGCACCAAGATATAGATTTTTAATAGGGATGGGATAATGAAGGCACAGCAGCTTATGCAACTTCCTGGTCCCTACACACTAGTAAGTGGTCTATATGCTAATCACTGGGTGTACATAAAATTCAAATTTATCCACACAAGTTCATGAGCTACAGTAAATTTGTGAAGGGAAAGCATGCATTCGCTTTTACTCCATCTCTATCTGGGGGGAAACGGGCAGATAAAAATTTAAGGTAAGTGCCCGTGGATCTCAGTCTATCTCTCCTTACTGCCTGTATTGGTAAAAATGTCGAGACGTTGAATAATGCTGAGAAAACCCGATCCT